CAGATAGTTGCTTAGCTGCTTCATCCATTTCTCTCAGGACATGTACATGTTCCTCACCAGGCCCCATGGGCTTGGGCATCTTCAAGCTCTTTAAATGGTCTTCAATCTGATTTTCTACAGCTGGCAGTTCTTCATTCTCACAGTCCCTGCCTTTGCCTTCTGTGACATGGGTGGTGTGACTGGAACATTTGAAGTTATTGACTAGTTCAGCCTTTTCCATGTCCCAGGTCACCAGGCCTCCTGCTTCCTTCTAGAGGGCCCACATTTTCCCTGGTCTTCCTTTTATTACCAATGTAACAACAGAAGCTTTTGTTGTCCTAGATGTCCCTGCCCACATTTAATCCTATCAGGGCTTTAGCTTTGCCAGAGGGATTCCTGACTGCTTAGACAATCTGTCTGTATATTTCCCAGGTTACCTGTATGTTTGAGGTTTGCAACCTCTGGAGGCTTCCTTTTTGTCTTTGAATTCATCCAGGAGTTCCCCATTCATCCAGGTAGTTTTGCCTGACTTCCTCTTTGCTCATGGGCTCATGGGCTTGGAAGTGGTGATTTATCTCACAGTCTCAAAGAGTGGGACACAGAAACAGGACAGTGTTTCTCATTGTTACAGGGCAGAGGCTGCCATGCCACAGCCTCTGCTAGAAGCCCCACAAGCAGGGCAGGCTGAAGTGGGACCAGCATCAGCTTTCAGGACCAGGCCTTCAAACAATGCATGGCTTTCTTAGCACAGCTGCAGTCAGGAGTTAGGTCACAGTTGTTCCCATAGGAAGATTTTTTCAGGAATGCCTTCTTCTAGCAAGTTGAATTAAGGCTGGAGAATGAAGTGACACCTCAGGATACTGCTAACTTGCACAGAGAAACATCCCTAGCATCAGCAGAGCCATGGTGGCTCTGGACTCCACATTCCCTGCTGCCTTGGTGTTCCCCTTAGGCAGCACCACTGCTGTCCTCAGCACCTCAGGCACCATGCAGCAGCAAGGATGGCAGAGCTGGACCTGCTGGGAGTTCTGCCACCATCTGTCACAAATGCTTGTAAAGAAGCTAGCAAAAGCAGAAAGCCAGCACACCTGGAGCATCTGCAAGCTTCTGAAGCCGTCAGGGAGAGTTGCTGCTCTGTGCACCTGCTGTTGTTGTTATTAGCTCTGAGTACTGGGCACTTGCAAACCTTTATGAAAAGATTACGCAAAAACCAGCATTAAATTCACCATGAAGCTTGTTTTGACTGAGCAATACTCAATAAACAGAAGTAGACAACTCTTGCTCAAAACTCTTATTTTGTCTAAGTCTGCTTTGGAGAGGTTTAAGTCAAGGTCAAAGACCCAGAACCTGTAAAGAAAATATAAATGCAAAATGGACTAATCCGTGGCCTTACAGAAAAACATCTATTAAATTGCTAACTTCAACTTCCTGTTAAAAAAGCAAAACAAAATAAAATGAAACAAAACAAGCTTACTATTTAATATTTAAGTGATATTGCAAAACATGAGCATAATGATGTCTTTTGAGTAAAGAATTGTGAGTGCCAGATCACACCCATAATCTGTCACCCATGAACACATTTATGAAGTGTGCTCTCTCTCATATTCTCAGCATGAATACCTGGCAATCAATGGGAATATATATCACACAGATGTACAGGCTGCATATAAAATTATGCCACACAAAACTCTTGAGAACTGAAGACTTCTGCCTTTCCTCAACACCAAAGTATGTTGAAACTGGTGATCATAGTGATATGGAAGAGTGATGTCACTAAAAAAAGATGTGTCATTATCAGAAAAATGGTTACTGCTAAAAAAATCCAAAATCACATTCTCTAAAAATTGTTTACTGTAATAAAGAGTTTTGGTTACCCCCTTTTTGAGCCTTCCAAACAGGATTGTTGGGAATTTCTGCAGCAAAAAGGAATGAAATAATAATTAAAAAATTTTAAAAAAGCAAACAACACAGCAAAAAAACCAAAACAAAAAACACCCCCACCCCAACAAGATAAACAAAAAAAAACCCCTACGAAAATAGATTTTCAACTCCTGCTTCCAGATATATCTTCTCAAACTGCTTTTGTCTGGTTAAGGTTTAAAAAAGTCTCAAAGGCTCAGAAGGTCCCTGAGTTCAAGATTTTGCAGATTTTTGCACACTCACTTCAACCCCAGTTACCACTAATTTTAAAGAGAAGCCCTACAAAATGTAACAAATTAAAAAAAAATTTGGTGGAAAGGGAGAAGTATATAAGTAAACCAGTAAATAATTAAAAGTTATTTTAAATTAAGATCTTAATCTTTAAATAAAATAAAAAGCACAGCAGGTGATTTTAAGAATTTATCCTATTTGGAATTAATAATATTTTTATTTTTTTTTATTTATTAAGTGATCTGCCTGTTAAATCGGATCATTTATTTCTTACTACTTCATCGAATTATGTGTATTACGATCTGTTTTGTGTCTGCTCTCATTTAGATGTTTTCTTAACACCTAAGAAAAGTTGGTGTATTATCTTTATTTGGATTTGAATTGGACTCCTGTACAGATTTAAAGGTGTTTTCCCTGCACAATATTGCTGCAAAACAAATACTCAGACAGAACAGATAGACTAAAGTCTATTTCCTAGAGAGGACAGGCTCTGCTGCTTCAGTCACATCAAAGATGCAGTGACTGGTGTGCTCACAAATTGCTGACAATAAACAAGGAGTTGTTTATCAGCTGGAGCGGTGCTGCAGATGTCATTGAGAAAATAAAAACCAGAGAGTTGCATCCAATTGTTTGGGCTGGCAAGAATACCTATTTTTTTCACAAATCACACCTAACTTTCATGTCTCCTGGTAATTTTGCACAACACTGTAAAAATTTTTCACCTAGAAAAGTGCAATATGTTTAAGAAACCAATGGCTACTTTTTCTAGACACCGTATCTCTAAATAACTGGTACCTGCTAAAAGACAGAAAGCTTCCTTTGATGTAAGCTCAAACTGTAATGGTTTCTACACAGGGATATGAGAACCCATATCCAAGGCCAGTACCTGTTATTTATGGTAATTTCAAACATGGAACGAATTGCAATGACCTTAATCATAGCAAGATTATTTCCTACTATGCCCTAGGGTATTCTGAGCTGACAATGCTCCAGACTTTCCTGAGGAAGCTGCTGGCTGGGTAGGCACAGGGGGTAAGATATCATGAATCAGCACCCTACTAATGAGAATGTTCACTTTTAAGAGTGAAGACCAAAAATCCACTTTGTGTTTCCGATAATATTTGGCGCAAGCTTCTTAGGAGGAAATAAATTTAGAAAAAAAAACAGAATTAATTTTTAAAAATTCATCTGTCATCACCAAGACAAAATATTTAATGGTAAGACAGACTTATCCTCATTTTCTTTCTCTGGCAAAGTGAATATTTAGCTGTCACTTAGAGTGGAAGACAGTGCCATTGAGAGAGACTCCTCTTGCTCTAACTATCTAACTGCAACTTGCTTCTTCATAAAGATAGAAACAGGTTCAAGTAAAGGATCAAATCTAGATGTCACAGATGATTGGAAGAATCAGTATGGATGTATAATTGGATGAAAAAGTATGTGGAGGGTCTCACAACATGCCTTTTCTCTAGACTCTTCCAGATGGATGCACCATTTTATCTTTTACAGTTTGTTTAGGACACTTTAATACTGAAAACACAAAAGTTCATTATATGTAGGAGAGCAGACCTTTCAGGACCTATATTCTGCATTGTGACACATGAAATTACCCGTTTTGTCCTACAGCTTCCTTAGCAAGGCATTTGCTTCTGCTGAGGCAAGCATAAAATCCAGAAAAGTGTTGAAAGGCCTTGTTTGCATACACAATATTATCAATTCTTTAATTATTATGAATATTAGCTTGGAATCTGAGTAGTCCCTAACATGCTTGATATTCCATTTGGAAAATGGACTTTCTCCATACCCACAGAATCACACAAGCATATGTGTAGACGTAGATAGTACACAAAATACACAAGGAGACATAGACATGCACACAAACACATACACAGACTCACTCTTTGCTATTTTTTGGTAGTGTTTTGTTAACTTTAATTTGCAATTAAATCTGCTCTTAGAACAACCTTCCAGGGATTCAGCTGTTCGGCTCAAATCTTCACAGCCCAAGAAGAGACAAAACATGGGCAGCCTTTTTTATTGAATTAATTTGATTTTTGTCTTTTGTCCTGCCAGCTATCAGAATTGTCAAATAAACCAGCTTTGATTCATAAATAATGGTTCCATTATATTTACTGTGCCACCGGTCAGAGTACCTGAAATTTTAATTCACTTGTTCAGCTAAATTTCATCCTCAGTTCACAGCCATAAAATTCTGTATTGACAAACTTTCAAACCAACTTTGACTCTGAGGTATCTAGTCAACATTTTTCTTCTGTGTGGATATTAGTTTATTGAATAAGTGGCATCTGTTTTCCTCCACATCACTGGTGGAGTAGGTATTTCCTTTTGACAGCTTTGTACGATTTATGGGTTTGCATGCTATGAAGAAAAATAGTACTAAGCAAAAAATTCCAATTCATTACCTCTTAGTACTTAATTAAGTTCATACGCATTGCACACTATAGGTGAACCCTGAAATGACTGTGACAGTCACTGAGCTGCAAGTTAGATTATCTTTGGAAGACAGAGAGGCTTTTAATTATCTTGACCTCATTTTTTCCATCTATGATATTCATAAATTTTCATTCTATTTTGTTGCCTTCATCAGATGTACCAAACCATTCTAAAAACAAGATTATATCCTTAGCTATTTCTTTTTATCTGCACATTTAGGCACTGAATGTTTTTACAAATAGTGAAGGCAAGCAATAGTTTTTATCAGCTTACTTCACGCAGCTGCAGATGAATTATGTCATCCAGGGTCCTCATAATAATGGTTTGGTTTTGAAAATGATAACAGCTTGATAAAAGAAGAAAGCAGTGGATCTGGCTATCAGTAGATACAGAAATAAAGAGAGCCTGGGCTTTACCTGTCGGGGTTCTGTGTACACACATGCATCTGTAAGAGGATCCGCTGGGTGAAAGTCTTAAAGCATTGCCCACATTTCCAAAGGTGCCAGTCACTGAACTCAGAATTTAGTTGGCTTGTTGAAGTTGGGCTTGCAAGAACTCGTTGGTTTTTGACAGTGATCTGGTTAAATCCTGACTCGATGGACCCAGACTTATCCAGGAGAGAAAAATTTCTGCTACACGGAGTCTGTGGAAATACTACGGATCGCTGTGGTGTGGCAGGGGAGAGTTTGCTACTTTTATTAAATGGCTGTAGGGTGTCTTGTCTGGACATGGCCTCCATTACAGTCGAAGGGACATTCACTGGGAGAAAACAAGAAAAGTAAATAAGATCCTTTTTATGCCTTTTTAAAACTAATACAATTTTGGGAGACACCAAAAAAAAATCAACATCCATTTTCTTGACACTACAATGAAACAATTTTATTTTAATAATGTAAAAAAAAAAAAAAAAGGAAAAAAAGAAACAGGAAAAGAGAAAAAAAGGGGGAAAGAGAAGGGAAGAAGGACATGAATGAGTGGTCTGAATGGATGGTGCTGATTCTGTGACACTGAAATGAAAATTCATGCAAGGGAGTGTCTGAGACTGAAAGGACCCAGAGAAGCCTGACTGTGATATACATTTATTACACTATGGGATTGTCATCGGAAAGGAAAAGCTGCACCACTTGTGATTCCCTGACTCCTCATATTGCAGTCAGCATGTCTGACTTCTATATCACAGACAAGCATGAATTTTGAGAGCATGGAGAAAAAATATCTCTGTTGGGACATTCCTTGAGATACAACAGGGCTTAAATATCTACTGCAGCAATAGCTGTCCTACGAAAGGGTGGCCTCTAAGGATATAATACTATTACATCTCACAACTAATCACACTGCCAATGCAGTAAGAAACCAGGGACTTCATCATGTATCTTATGCCTGAGGTTAATAGCAGGTAGGTCACCACAAAACACTGCAAGTTACAGGCAGAAAGATCTTTGTGCATCAGTTTCCCAGATAAAGAACAGGCATAAAAATGTTTTCTCAGTCCCATGAAAATTGCCTCTATATAATCATCAATTAACTATGGCTTTTGAGGCACTCAGGTATTTCAGCAACAAATGCAATATGCTTTTCACAAATAAGTGATTTAGTGCTGAATTTGAATGTTTTGTGATAAGAAAGGCAGGAGATAAAGCAAGTAGAAGTTGAACAGCTGCCTCACACCTTGAGAACCATGTAGACATGCAGTGAATGAGGCAAGGGTCCTGTGAAAAAATAGAGTCAGCTGACGAAAGGTTGCACCACAATGCAAAAATAAACATAATTTAGGTTGCCTGGACCAAACAATTTCTAATACTTTCTAATTTTGGCACACTCAGGTTCATGAGCTGATTTTTCAATGGACATTTTCAAATTAAATACATCATATACATATAAGTCTATGCATTTAGTTACCATCACAAACTGTTTAAATCTATAAATAAGTACATAGCATGTATTAAACTGATAATTAGAAACTACAATTGTGTTTTAGTAAGCATTTAGATGATAATAGATTTCTAAGAGAAAACATAAGAATTAAATTTTAGTTGCAACTGGAATTGGCCAACATTATTTCATATTAAAAAGAAACAAAAACAAACAGAAACAAAAAACCAACAAAAATACCCCCAGAAATTAATATTGGGTAATATTTTAAATCATGCCAGTTGCTTTAGAGTTATATTCTAATATCTATGATCATTCATAATGATTCCCATATTATATTATTACAAGATATTTAATTTATGGCAGTTGAAGTCCTTCCAAATCTATTCTTTTTTTTGTGGTATCTGAGAACCTTATTTCTAAATACAGTTACGTCCATGAAGCTGTCTCTCAAAAGTTTCCAGACACAGAATATATCTTCTACATCTCTTCAGTACCAGGAGCAATTTGCATACTATTATTTTGCCTCTTCAGAAGAAGCAGATCACCTTTTTTCTTTTATTTTCTTTAAATTGTACTCATTAAAGTCTACAGAAACAATGAGATCAGGGTACTAAGGTCCTAAGGAATAAAGGCAGAACTTGTGCTGCTGACAATACCCCTGTGCAGAAGATAAGCAGAAGGTACATTCTGGGAGTTTAAGTGGAACTGAAGTCCTATACCAGTCTGCAGCTGGCTCCATGGTCAGATTAATTTAATCTACTCATGTCAGTGTCTCTGCGGATGAAAGTCGGGTTTGTCTCACAGAAAAATATCAAGAGATAATATTTACAGATTTTAGCCATAATGTTTTTCTTTTCAAATAAAAGTTTTGTAGTCTTTGGTTCCTGAAAGAAAAAATAATATTTCTGTATTGTATACTGCAGAGCATGACTTTCATCAGCAAATATTTCTGTCAGTAACTAAATTTCTTTTAAACTTTTCTCAAGCTCAACAGACTTGAAAACTCAAGATGGGAAAGGATGTTTACTTTTGACAGTTTAATCCTTGCTATCTTGCTGTTTAATTGCTTCATGATTCAGTATTTAAGTTGCTATAAGACACTAGCTCCTCCTAGCAGTTCATCCTGTTTAAATATCCAAGTACAGGACCAAAAACATACATTTTATACATAATTTATCAAGTGTGAGCAGTCACAGAGTTACTTTAGACCAAAGTCAATGGGTCCATTATAGTTTTCTTCCACTACACAGATGCACATAGTTGCAAAAATAGGTGCACGTTCTAAACAAGTCTCACACACAAGCAGTCAAACTGAAGGATGTGCCTGGATCACCCATCTCTATTACAGACAAAGGTAACCAGCACTAGGTTGTGCCTGTGTTATCAATAACTATGCATGCTTAGTTTTGTGAGGATCCCTAGAAAACTAGAAATAGAAGGTTGAGAAGTGGTAAAAGAATGGATGGAAATGGGGATGGTCAGGATGGGATAGAGATCTATTTTCATTTCAGGGTGCTTACACTCAGTTGGTATTTTTAAAAGTAGGTTTTTATGTTTAACCACAAGGCTCTAACCTCTTAAATCAGCCAGCCAAAGCTTTTCTCAATGTTCTCAGATGTAATAAAAAAAAAGAATCACCAACAGAGGCCCTGTGGGCCTGCAATGCATTACGTTTTGCCAAGACAGTGTTTTGTGATAGATCTGGTAACAATGCGGAGAACCAAACAAACTTGTTTACAGTAGATTAATTAATCACTAATACAGAACAGGGATTCTAACCATACCATAATTTTGACAGTTAAAGTGTATCACCTTACCTTAAATACACTACCATTTTCATTAAATGCCGTAGAATCAGAGAATCACAGAGTAGTTTTAGTTAGAAGGGGCCTTGAAGATCATCTAGTTCCAACTCCCCTGACATGGGTAGGGACACCACCAGAACAGGTTGCTTAAAGCTCCATCCTGGACTGGTGTTGAAGTTCCAGGGACAGAATCCCCTCTAAAATACTCTATGATACATCTGATTAGGCGTGAAAGAGGAATTACGGCTTACACAGGTAGAAATGCAAAGAAGAACTTACAATTTTCATCTTGTGCAATGCACTGCAGAGGGATTCCAAAGAAAGATGTGTAGCTGTCATTGTACCACACTAACAGCTCAGTGCCCCTGGGGATATCTATACAAGCCCGGTAAAATATATTTGACCTAATCAAGAAAAAAGAAAACATTGCAAAATTTAGGAATAGAGCATTCTCATCTTATAGCACACAGTTTTACAGTAGAAAATCATTGTTTTGGAAGCATTCCTGCAGATAACTAATGAATAATCTACTGATTGTTTCAAAACCAAATCTCTCATTAGAGAAGGACTTTGTTCCTCTAACACAGGCTAGCAACTTTACAACAAAGTTGTGTCTAGCATATATTAAATACTAACGTTTTAGAAGAAATAAGATATTATAAAAGTACAGGTATTTTAGTCTGTTTCAGGGGGATTTTAGAATGGCACATTTTGCTTACACAGTATACCTAACCATCTGAGTGGTGTACACAGCTCAGCAAGTACAGACATTTAAACAGCTTTGTATCTGTCATCTAAGCTAAAGTTAACACATTTTAGGGTAAATAGACAACAACTCTTTTATGTGAATAAATTCATCTAGCAAGACTTTTGAAGGAGTGTCAAGTGACCTTTCATGGCAGTAATATACCATCAAATGAGAGGTCTTGGGCTGTTGAGAAAAACAGACTTTGACATAATGGAAATAAAAAAATTGGCGTTAATTGGATCATGCACTGCTTAAATCTTCTCCTATATGGAACCTGAGGGCAGTGCCAATGATTTAGTATGTAAAAATTACCATTACTTTAAGTGAGATACCTCATTGTTCCTGTGAGAGAAGACTGGGTATTTCTTGGCCACTGAAGTGGGAATTGAGGGGGGAAAAGGGAAAAATCCTAATGTCTTTAGCATAAAAACAAGAGCTTTATCCTGATCTTGTGCTGATGTAAATAGCTTCAGAGTGATACTTCAGCAGTTAAGACATTTACATGGCAGCAAAAACTGTGTAAGATTAGAATCAGGCACAAGATAAAAGACAAGTGTTATCAGCTTGCAGTGGCTTTTCCCTTACGCTTCACATGGAACAGTAAAACACACTCCTGTGAGATGGATAGAAATTCAATATATACAAGAAGAACAGTCGACTCTTGCTGAAGGATTACATACCAAAGTGATACAGTCAAAGTACCAAGAAATGACCATTTTTTATAACAGCTTATGTAAGGCAGAAAAACACATATAGACCAAAAAAAAAAAAAAACCAAGAAAATAAAAGAAGTTTAGGCCTCAACCAGTTTTCTCAGTGAAGAATTGCTACAAACATTATTCTGAAGTTCAAGATAAAAGTGTTTAGGGTTGGTAGGCCTTAAATTTAGACTTTCTATAAAGAATTGGCTGTAGCAATGCAATTTGTTCCTTGTATAACACTGCAGACATAAGGAGAATCTTCTACCACATTTTTCATGGCAGTGAGATATGCACTTGTCAACATATTTTGTCACCGCAAAGTGGCTCTTGGCAACAGGATCATAAAGATCAATAAAAAAGTGCAGATTCTCAATATTTTACTAGCAGCTGCAAAAATTTCATTTATCTTGTTATTTTCCTCGCTTACTGCCACCCTGTCTCAGGAGGGCACTGCTAGCTAAGCAGAATGGTTTTCTTAGCCTTCTATGAATATCTGACAAAAACTCTCCCCTTTGTGTCTCCTCTTCATCTTCCATCCTCCTCCTTCTCCTCCTCTTCTTCTCTCTCTCTCTTTCTTCCCAGGGCTTTGCATTTAGTTAATTCTTTCCACTGTTACATAAAAAATGAAAATCGGAGCCACGCTATAAATTACCGGCATCTCTTAACTTGAGAAAAATTGAGTCTACTTTGTACTTCACCCTTGTAACATTTCATCTCTCAGTTTGGCTTCCCTTAACATAAACACAGCAGCCCGGCAAATGAATGTGCTAAAACCAAATGACACACTTTGCCGCTGAAAGAGCAGAACTGTTTTTGAGCAATGGGTGGTCTGTGGGGCTTGGAGTAGGCAGGGAAAAAAAAGTGTAAGTGTACACCGTCCCTTACAAGTGTGCAGAGCTTCCAAAACTCGCAGAAATCTCTGCATGCTGAAGTACATCAAAGGGATTTTTCCCTTTTCGGATAATATTTCCTTTGCTGACATGTATTTAGTATTGTGGTTGGATGACTCATAAAGATAGCTTCATGGCGTCCCAACGCAGTTGAAGCAGAACACATGCCAACAAACATTATTGTCAGCCTCAAAATAAAAACAAAACGTTCAGCTAAGGGTCAATCAATCAAGAGCACTTTGAAGAAAATTCCATTTAGATATTACAAATCATAACAGAATGAATTTAAACCAGCTGACTTTCTGTGAGGAGGACGTCCATGTACAATAAAAATTAGGCTGGTTTTTCAGTGTCCAACTTTTCTATTTTCTTACACTTGGATGCAGTCACTGGTGATGGATGCCAGTTTTTTAAATTGTGTTTTTGTAGTTCATTTTATAAAGATCTGAAGTAATCGAAAACAGATCAACAGAGGGAACTCTAAGTAAAAACTCCATCATGAAAGGAGAGTTGTAAAATCCACTTAATATTGACAGATGTGTAATGACTTTCTCATGCTAACTTTTCATTTAGTTTTGTCATATATATATATATATATATTATATATGTGCACGCACACATCACCACATAGAGCAATAGTCCACAAGATATCTACAAAAACAGTCTTTCATCACAACAATCTTTATTCGTTATCCAGCATGTTTATTTAAAATCCTATGGTATTTTAGCCATAGATAGCAGATATTTAAGCATATAATAAAAGATTTGCAATGTATAAATAGGATTGTTATTTTTTTAACTGCAGCGTTGTTTAGTCAACTGGCCAGAGAATAAAAAAAGTTGAAAATGCAACTGAACAATTTTACCATTGTTAAATTGGATCCCTATGGGATAATCAAACTTTATATATTTCATTTTAGCTTGCTTTTGTATGTTTTATTTTTAATTTTAAAGGTAGTTTAAATAAGTTTAAGATTTTTCCTAAATAAAAGAAACTCTGCTCTCTAAAGCAACCAGCAAAAAAATCATTGCTCACTGCAACTGGCAAGCCTGGGGCATTCTTTGATGTGCTTCCTACCACATTTAATAAGGCCAAGCAGTCGCTTCTGATTCTAAGGCAAAAGGTTTGTTTATAGCTGAGATCATGTATTTATGTAATGTGTTGTCTGGGTTTTCTGGATCTATTTGCCAGTACAAAGTAAAATGCACCATAATTTCTTTACATTTTTCTTCACATTTTGTTTTTCTCTAGCCAGCAACATAAGAGGTACAAGTTCTAGCAATCTTGGCTGGCAGGTGCACTCAACAAAAAAGCTCGAGGTGTATACACACCTCGTGACTGACCCTCAGGAAGCCTCTGGGTGCCACTTTTCCCCCTCCCCTATCACTTGCATCTCTATTAAGGGTGGAGAACTGCTTGTGTTGGCTTGCCTCTGATGAGACTATTTGAAAAAGTGCAGAGAGCGCTGTGTGGTGTGGTGTGGTGTGTGGTGTGGTGTGGTGTGGTGTGGTGTGGTGTGGCGTGGTGTGGCGTGGCGTGGCGTGGTGTGGTGTGGTGTGGTGTGGTGTGGTGTGGTGTGGTGGTCACACAAGTGACACAGGGCTGCCCTCACTCCCTGGAGCTTCACCCCGCGCGTGCTGCTCCACGTGAGCACATCCTCCAAAGCTCTGGTGCTGTCTTTGCAATCAAAGGCAGCAGTACTCCTGATGGTTACAGTCTGATAAAACATTCTCATTTTGTGTCATTGGGTGAATCAAAAGTCACTTTACCTGTATTGAACCACCGTTAAGTTCTGCTCCCCACAGTGCCTCGCACATCGTATGTACCTCATCCAGCTTGACTTGCTGGGTTCCCCGCCATCGATAAAGTGCTGCAGTGTCCCATCTTGGTCATATATCTGGGGGAGATGTCACAAGGTCAAGCAGTTAGAACAAATAATCAGCAATCATTTTCACTGCTGGTGTGTCTCTGTGGCATTTCCAGGACTTTATTGCCATGAAGTTTGTCGTCTGTGTACTGATACACTTAGAAATAAACATGAAAAAAGCAGAGAAGTATTTTAGGGGATGCAAGTTTATCATGTTTCTCTTATCAAGCCAATCTCTTAATATTTAAAGTATTTGTGGTGTCTCAAAGATGTGACCATGTTTCCCAAAGAATATTTAACCTATTTTGACAAGCTGGCCTTAAATAATGAACTGCCAGATAAACAAGAAAATCTGGATGTAAAGTGTGCAATAAAATGGCTGGGACATCTGAGCAAGGGGCAGTAGTAATTCCTAAACAAGGATCCCTCTTTCACATCTCAGCTGCAGCAAAAGCATATACTGCAGCAGCCTCACATGATATGTTAGGGAGTTGTAGGATTCATAACATCAAAACAAATGAGACTAGAAGGAAAAACGGAGTTGATGATGTCTTTAGGAACTCCTTTGAGACATGCAACTTTTTTGAAGTACTAAATGAGAAACCAGTCCTGAGGGAAACATTGTTTTCCTAAACATTACATCCCTGTTAAGGACATGAGAGCCAGTTATGGTGATTTTAAAAAATACAGTATTATGTTTCTATTCAAAAGTGGATGCTCTGTCTGATCAAGAGTTCCTCTGGAGGTTCTGACATGAAAAGATAAATGTATCATGCATATCTGCCCTCCTGACTGCTTAGAAAATCTAACCTACCTATTGAGGTAGATCTAATCTGAGTAAAAACATGTGATCTCACAAGATTTTTACTTATTACACAATTACTCTGACAAACTTCACAAACGCGTCTGAACAATTAGGTGCCTATCTGAAGTAAATCTCATTTTTACATCTTCTGCCCCTCTATGAACTTTATATTTGCTTTAATATCCATACCCCAAAAATGTTATCCCTTTGGAAATTGTATGAGCCTTAATTGATGCCTTCTTGAAAACATGAATTCTGCTAACTAAAGTGGAAGCACATTCATTACATTGAATTGAACACTTCTAGTATATTAACAATCAGTATATTAACAGATTAACAATCTTGAATGTCTATTTCAATATCAAGAGAATAATCTCAGATGAATATATGAATATATTGAATATTAATATATTCAATACTTATGTTTTTTTTAAAACAGGGTTTCTTACAGTTCACACAAAAATATACACAGGAATCAAAATCTAGTTTTTCCTTCTACCTAAAGACAGTCTCAAATTCAGGAACCAGCTTTGCTTTTGTTTTTGGCCAAGAGGGACTGTGAGTAATCAGGAGGAATATGTCCATTGCAAGAGCATGAGACACACAGAAATCAAGTGTCTATGGCGATCCTTATCCTTTGTTCCCAAGTGTCTGTGACAAGGACCAAATACTCCTGTGCTGGATAAGAAAGATCCCACCCCAACATGCACTGAAGTGAATAAAGTCAGAGAAATCAGGAGTCCTAAGAAGCAAACAAATACTCCAATCCCAGGGATTAAGTTTATTTTTTATATATGGCTACATTCTGATTATCAGCAAGAACCTATTCTTATGCAAATATCTTAATGTATGTTGAATACGGGAGTAGAATAAGCTAAACTATAAAAAGCTGAAGAAATCAGAGAACTTCTACAGGACATCAGCCTATAAAAAGGAAGAGAAGGAAAAATTAATGGCTAACAGTACTTGGCTGAAACCATTTTGGCAATATCCATTCAAACATTCTCAGCAGTGTTTATTATCTATCCATTTGCATGCTGCTTATTCACATAACAATATATGACTTAACATGAGGCAAAAACAATTCCCATAAATAAAGAGCTGATAACTTCCTAATCCCCAGATGACATGAAACAAGAAAGACACAGAGGACTGCCATAATCAGTAGTGACACTCATATCTTGGCAGACAGGGTCCTACCCAGAACTTTGTGTAAATAGACAGTCATTAACTGATATGAAAAATTAAAATCTGTCATGAAAACATAGGACTGGATCTTTCCTGGGCCTTGGTCTGGAATTGGAAGAGCTGTGCTGTAAGACTAAGTATTTTCAAATACTTTATTCTCACAAATACTGGTGCATCAAGTGACATTATGCCCTCCTTTCATAAGAGGATATTACTGCATACTCATAATCTATCCAACAGCATTCTTATCCCTATTCTTACAGGACTGCTAACCCATCTGTAAGGAAGCAGAAACCCTAGGCTTAGAAGTTAAAATACAATACTGTGTCAAATCTATTTGTCGCATTGCATAATATGGGTTAAAATCTGGAAAAAAAACCCCAAAACTCAGATATGGTTACTATTTTCCATGTCCCTAACATTCAGGAGTTCTTATTCATTTCACAGTTACTTAAATCAGGAGGGCATTGAAGACACAACTGCCCGAAGAAACCATCATGAGGGAGCAAACCATAACCTGCCATGGAGAAAAACCAAACCTGTGGAACAAGCTGTGAACACAGGAACTACAGTGAACCATTGATATATATATTTACCCACATCTCTATTACACCTGCAAACATCCTTAAACAGTCATAGTAACTATTACAGAAAACACTGCAGAAACTTGTGGTAAACTGATGTTACTGGAAGTCTTTGGCTACCTCACTTGATCATTACATCCATCTACACTGGCATAATTTTTAACACATTGCAATAGCCTCATGGCAAAACAGAATGCCATTTCTTCAAGTCCCTTCAGGCTCTGCATTTATTTTTTCTGTATCTCACATCAGTAACTGATCTAAGTAGTGGAAATACAATTAGTTATTTCCTTTTTCTACTTTGACTGCACTTGGAAGTGTTACCTAAGCTTCTTACTGGACCTTGATAACTGTTGGTTTTGCTGACTTTAAAGGGTTAAAGGTTTTTGATGTGGTCTTTTGTTTATCATGGAATGGAATGGAATGGAATGGAATGGAATGGAATGGAATGGAATGGAATGGAATGGAATGGGCCAGATTTGTGGAAGAGAGTGGAATCTGATAAAAGAGGTCTGAGCTCACCTCATTTGACTTGCATTATGATCCCACTTAGCAGTTGCCTAATAGTTAATTAACTTCTTATAGCTGACGAACTTTTTAATAGGTTCTTGACTGTTTGCAGATATTTTACTGATAAAAAAACTCAGAATATGATACATACTTCTATGAATTTCATCCTTTGACTTCAAATAGAAAAAAACTGCTTCATTGTCCAAGAAAGTCCAAAGCACATCATCAGAATACAGTCTTCTCTTTTCAGTGTTTTCTATTCGCTTCCCTGCAAGCATTGCTTTATTAAATAATCAAGACATAAATAGAGGCTCTTCTACTAATGGCATGCAAACATAAATTAAATATGAAGGACTAGATGTATTACTTGCTGGATTGGTTGAGGACAATTATTTGGAGGACACAGATACTGCTTCTTTAAAGGCAATGATAAGAGCAATGCACAATGGCAGTAATAACATAATTTCTAAAGCACATTGCACTCATAAAAGTGTTGCTCTAAAATCTCTGAACAGCCATAGCTAACATAAATAACAAAGGTAACATAAACACGGACCATCTAAGGTTTAAGCAGTATTAAAAGACAAGATGGAGTGCTAAAGAGACTTCTGAGAACTTCAGTTATTTCAGTACTGATAAAGTCAGTATTGCTCACTTGGATCAATGGGGCATATCTAATTCCAATGCTAAAAAATGTTGCTCCAGTTTCTGGTATAGATACCACAAAATTGTAGGCTAAAGAAGTTCAAATATAACAGCACAGCTGCAGAGAAAGCCAAATTATGAAGCAATTACAAATGATTTCACAGAAGCAGCAGCAAGAACAAAAATAGTTTGTTGAAGTTCTTTCCTCCCTATCTATTGCCTTCCTTTTTTCTCTCTCCATGGTCTGTTAATGGATTATGTCTTTAGAAATACTTCCTGCATTTTATTTTTCCATTTGGTCAGATAGAAATGTATTTGCAGATAATTATTTGGCTGCTCATTTTCATTTCAGGCAGTCAGGGAATAGAGTGATCCTGAAAATAGAATTTTTCTTTGCAAATACATTTATATTGTAAAAGTAGCTATTCGAATATTTGTTTTATGTTGTGAGACATCAAAAAAGATGTGAAGAAAACCACAAAATATTCAAGAATTAATTCTTACCATTATAGAGACTCTTGCATTTTGCTGTTCACCGTTATTGTCCTTGATAACACATACATAAAACCATAAAATTTTCACATCACTTACTATGAGTCTTCGCCTCTCTGAAGATGTTTTGTCTTGGCTTCAATGGGAAGAGTCAAGATAGCAAAGATGTACCCAAAACTACTGGTAATATGATGAAAAAGTTGTAACCAGACATGTTAGCTATGGTAGCATACATGCAAGTTATATTCTTTCTGTAACAGTGTATGACCCTACAAGCCAGTTACACTGCAAGTCTCTTCTTTCTAACTCGGGCATCAGAACTCAATAAGCTTGACACTAGGCAAATTTCACTATTGTGAGACCCTGCTTTTGATGGAAAAACAATACATCTTCAAAGCTGTCTATCCTAAATGGAAGTTGAAAAATATGCAAAAAAGGGTAATCGTTATAAGCCTGGCTGTTAAGATGACAGTCTGTAAAAGGTGTGCAATTATAGAATCATAGAATTGTTTAGGTTGCAAAAGACTTTTAAAATCATTGAATCTAACCCTTAAGCCAACACTGCCAAGCCAAGCATTAAATGTAGTCCCCAAGTGCCACAGCTATACTTCTTTTAAATACCTCCAGGGATGGTGATTCTATCACTTCCCTGAACAGCTTGTTCCAGTGCTTGACAGCCCTCTTGGTGAAGAACTTTTCCCTAATATCCAAGCTAAACCTTCCCTGGCACAGTTTCTGGCTGGTTACTCTTTTCCTGGCACTGGAAAACACACCAACTTGTACCCTCCTGGAATCTTCTTTCAGGC